TCGAAGGAAGTTTAGAAGTCAACTTCCGACAATATGGACAGATGAAAAGCAGAGCAGGGCAGATGCAGAGAGAAGAGAAAGATTAGAAGAGAGAAGATCAGAGAAGAGAAAGAGTCAGAAGAAAGAAGATGCAGATGCGCGAAAAGGTAGGAAAGTCGCGAAACACTGTGTTTTTCCAATGATTTGTGGCTCCGGAGGGTCGAAAAGTAGGCTCGCTAAAGCGGCGGGTGCGGAGCCAGCTGGCCAGATGAGAGATGAAAAATTGCACGCCGTTGTGGCGCAAAGCACATTTCGAAGTCAAAATGTACAAAACACACCATTCCCGGACCACTTTTGGAAGTTGAGATGTCGAAAAAGTGCACGCCGTTGTGGCGCGAAGCACATTTGGAAGTCAAAATGTACAAAACACAGCACGTTCGGACCACTTTTGGAAGTTGCGATGTCGAAAAAGTGCACGCTGTTGTGGCGCGAAGCACATTTCGAAGTGAAAATGTACAAAGCAGAAAAAGTGCACGCCGTTGTGGCGCGAAGCACATGTCGAAGTCAAAACGTTACAAGCACCAGGGGTTCGGACCACTTTTGGAGGTTCAGATGTCGCATCGCTTCGCTTCACTACAATACACTACATTACACTACACTACTCTACACTACACTCCACTACACTATATACACTACATTACACTACACTACACTCCACAACACTACAACTATAATTACACAACTACACTCCACTACACTCCACTACACTAAATTACACTACACTACAGTACACTACACTGCACTACCTTCCACTAAACTACACTACACTACACCCCACTACAACTACAACTACAAGTACACAACTACACTAAAGTACACTACACTACATTACACTACACTACACTCCGCAACACTAAAACTAACTACACAACTACACTCCACTAAATTCCACGACGCTAAATTACACTACACTACGCCACTCTACATTACACTACACTACACTCCACTACACTACACTACTTTACACTACACTACACTCCACTACACTACAACTACATCTACAACTACAGAACTACACTCCACTACACTCCGCTACACTAAATTACATTACACTACACTACATTACACTACACTCCACCACACTACATTACACTACACTACACTACACTACCTTCCACTACACTTCACTACATTACACTACACTCCACTACACTACAACTACACCTACGACTACACTCCACTGCACGAAATTACACTACACTACACTGCATTGCACTACACTACACTACATTCCACTACACTACACTACACTACATTACACTACACTACATTACACTGAATGACACTGCACCACAGATAGACAGGTAGACAGATAGACAGATAGACAGATAGATAGATAGATAGACAGATAGACAGGTAGACAGCTAGACAGATAGACAGATGAAAGAGAGAGAGAGAGAGAGTTAGATAGATAGATAGATAGATAGACAGACAGACAGATAGATAGATAGATACATACATAGAAGATAGATAGGTGGGTAGGTAGATAGTCAGAGAAAGAGAGAGAAAGAGAGGAGACCTCAAGCACCTTTCGGTCCATCAGTGGATTCGCTCTGCCATCCCGGATTCACAACAACCAATCTCTCCTATAGGTTTCCTATTTTTGAAACTTCCGCCACCGCCTTGTGCAGTACTACTGGTAATGTCTTCATATGCTATAACTTATTCTTGTTTACAAAGGCCAAAGTGAAGTAGTTTTTCATCTAGCTTGGGTTGCTCAAGAAGCCGGATCTGAAGTGGGTTCAAAGTATTTAGAGAAAATTAGAGAAATATTGGTGTGTTGTAAGTTGCCAAAAGGTCGGAGGTCCTCCGTCAACCCACCCCAATAAAAATAATAAAACCGTAAAGATGTCGCTGGCACACTGGCACAAGTGACAGGTTGCAACGCAGCTCTGAGTTGCTGTTTTGCAGCTTCCCGGTGGGAGAAAGTCTTCGAACTACTTGACGGTATGGTAGACGCTAAAATGGATGGAACCTCGGCTGAGTTTGCTCTCAAGAGCTGTGTGTGGTAGCTCAGCTGTGTTTCTGTCTTTTTGTCTTAGCCAGTGCGAAGGATGCCACACCATCTTTGGCTGGCTGTTGGTTCTGAGGATTTGTGGGTTTCTCGGTTTCTCCTTTCCCTCGGGTAGCAGATTCTCAGTCATCTCTTTGGCAAATGCGCCATCATTTGCCATCGCTTGGCTTGAGGCTTCACCGCTTCTCGTTACGACCACGTGTGCCAGGCTGGAAGTTCTTTGGAATCTCGGAGAAATGCACAAAATATCAAACATCTATAGTCTATAGTCTATAATGGAGTGCATGAACCATCATGGAAGAAATGAGGATGGGAGAGGAGTAGTGACCACCGATGTACTGACTCGTTGAGGTTTAGGAAGCTGAACCCAACCATGTTGCTGAAAGGATCTGAAATGAGTATTAATGTATGGCCTTTTTTGGGTAGGGATCCTTGTGTTGCATGCACCTGGGTACATTGGTATTGTAGATGCTCGGCGGGCCGAGCTGCATAGGTAGCCTCAGTAGATCGACCTGTTTGGCATACCTTATTGTCAAGCACCAGCGCGAAAAAAATCACAAGAGTCACAAGAGTATGTTCGACCATTCGACCAAGGATTGCTTCAAGCACACCGTCCTCATTGGATTGCTTCAGCAATTTACCCAGGACAACTGTCGTGTTTGGCCATTCCCCTTGGAACAGAATCGGCTTTCAGCTGAGAGACCCCAAAATATCATACTGTAGAACTGGAGACCATGACCGGTTTTGATCGGCTACTGTAAGCGCTGGAAAGCACATCGATTTGATGCAGACATGTTATTTAGCTTGGGGAAGGCAGTTGAGGAAAGCGCATCGACATGTGCGACCGTTGGGGGCGGCACAAGCATATTCGATTTCAGATCCATGGCTGTTTGCAAGCCATATGATGCAAATGCATGCAAATACCTTGTAAGAATGATTGCCGTGAAACTTCCTTTTTATGTTTCTGCTTTGTTATGCGTTGACCTGCATTTCTTGTGGCAGCATCCATTTTGTGATCGACAAAGCCTCTGACGTGAGAAGACATGCAGACGCCCGTGAGAGCACCCAAGCGCCAACAAGATGATTATCTCAGCCATTCGAAGGTGTGTGGCAGTCCAAAAATTCAGCAAACCCTCTTAAGATTTACTGTGCCGCAGATGTGTTTGGTTTTTCATTACCACGTCACTAGATTTTCATAATTCCATCCTCCTTCCTCCCATCCTTCTTCTCTCCCTCTCCAGTATGCTTTCGCTAGCTTCCTCGGCAGTCTCTTCTAGAACGCGACTCTATCACGAGCTCTTCAGCTCCCTGGGGGTCGCCGGACCCGAACACTAAGCCAGATAAAACGCCAGATAGAATGCCAGGCAGATGTTGACGCACTTTTGGCAACATCAGTATGTTTTTGCGGTCTTGCCCCGCGTGCCACAAAATATTTGCCATCAGGGGTTCAGTTCTATGGTGGAAGCTTTCGTGTTTGTGTGTGTGATTTTGCTATGTTTGTTTTTCCTTTGCAAATTAAAATCTGCGCGCAGGCGCGGATCAAATGAACCTTGCTTTTCGATTCCACAAGTTGAGGCCGTCGCGGTTGGCCACAGGAAAGGGGAAAACTAAAAGGAGATGACGAACACTTAACAAACGTAACAGTCTCACAACAGCACCAGTACTCGTTACAATCCCTCCTTTCTTAGACAGGTGACTCACACATCGGACATGAAGTCTACAGTATAGAATATATGTATGTGTATATATATATACATATATTACTGTACACTCATTTAGATATGTAACATATCTAAATGAGTGTACAGTAATTAATATGTATAATTTTACTGTTGTCATATTGTACATACATTTAGTATATGTGTCCATGAAGGTGTTTTTTGCATTCGACGTAGTTGTTAGTCGCAGATGTTACAGATACTAGGTGAATAGTCATGAGATCAAAACAACCACAATCAAATTTGGAGGCACCAGGGTTTGTCGTTTGATCGGGGGGAGTCATTGCTGGCAGAGGGCCACTTTTAAGTATTGTAATGGCAATGCGTTTGTTGACTCATAAGTCGATATTAAAGTTTTGAAGACCACCGTTTCGTTTCAAGAGCTGCTTTGTGTCCATGCCAGGATGCATCTCCTTTCACCTACGTTGATACACATGCAGGACGCGGCGTGTATGATCTCATTGTGGAAGAGGTTGCTCGATGCGATGCAAATGCAGATGCCTTACCCCCCTGAGCAAGCCAGGGTTGCGTTGTGCAAATGCTGCAGTTCCAAACCAATCACAAGAATGCGCATCAAGAAACTGTCAAGCGGCAACTAGCAAAAGGCATTCTGAATTATCGAAAGGGGAGGCTAATGCGCAATAATGCGGCAATCTTATGTTCTATATGGGTGGGAAAGATGCGAATAGCAAATTGGTAGTTCTGTCAAGGTGGAAAATCTTTTATAACATAGTTGCCAAAGAGATCATGCCGACGTTTGTCATTCAAATCCTCAGCTCTCAGCTGCCCCGGAATTAATGTCACGTTCATCTAAGGCTAAGGGCAATTTTCAGAATGGTATCGCACGGCTGTGCTCGCGAGTGGCAGCAAGCGGCGTTGCAAATTCCAGGCGGTGACAGCTCAAGTGTCCTGCTTACAAAGTCCAAAGACAGTTGCAGCATGATGATGCATAGGTTGATCTTGGTGTACAGAATTTCATCTAATACAAATTATGTAAATTATATATATAGTATGTTGTTATGTAGTGTAAGAACATAGGTTTCCAAAACTGTGAATCCAACCGCCTGGGTGTGTTCGCATGCGACTTGAGGTAGCTCAGAACACGTTCCAGAATGATTCTTGCGTATCCTTCCGAACGGTTTCTTTCTCAGTTCGCTTTGCAGGTGCCATCCACTACAGGAGTACTTGGCGCTACAGGGACAAGTCAACAAAGGACTGGGCTGCCTTCGCTAGAGCACATTGCTGTGCCCATGGGGTATCAGTAATGAGGGGTGACAGCTTGATGATATGTCATGTACATGAAATGTAACGTTTTTCCTGTGTTGACAAGACGATGTCACACATTGTTGCACAACTGATGAGGTCGTTTTGGACCTTGACCATCAAGAATTGCAATGGCAATGGTATTCGGGCATGAATCAAGAAAGTCCTCCAAAATTATTTTTGGCAAGGGCCCTTTGGTTGGAGTGAAGATGAACATATGCTGTATTCTTAATGTAATATATATGTAAAAGCAGAGGACATTGCAAATTTTCAACTTGAGAATTTGTTGCAGTCGGTAAGACCTTTTGTCACTCGAGACCACCCGTTTCTTTCAGGAACGATGCCACCTCATCCTCGGTACTTGGGCTCGCCTTGCATCTCCCACCTGTTTCTGCGGCCACAAGATCAGGTGCCAAGCACACCCAGCCGACTTTCTCAATCAATCACAATTCTATTTGATCCATAATTATTTTCAAACATCCACCAAAAATATAATGTCCAATCCATAGCCAAAAAACACACAGTATCCGACAATTGGTACGGGAATGGTACCTGAATGGTACCGGAGTGGTGCGGCACAGAATGGTATAAACGGGACTGGCACAGGGCACTGGGCATGGTACGGGACTGGTATGGCAAAATGGTACGGGAGTGGTACGGGCAATTACCTCCCGCTTCACCCTTCCCTGCTAGTTTTACTCACCTGCCCTGCGCCTCAAGTTTAACATCAGCACTTCAGAACCTCTATAAACTCCGGGAATATGACGAACAAACCGCGAATCAGAAACTTACCGCGAATCAGAAACAAAGAATCAGAAACTAAAAGCCGCGAATCAGAAACTAAAATCCGCGAATCAGAAACCAAAATCCCGCGAATCAGAAACCAAAAATCCCGCGAATCAGAAACTAAAATGCACGAATCCGAAACAAAACTCCGCGAATCAGAAACTGAGAATCAGAAACTAAAAACTGCGAATCAGAAACTAAAATCCCGCGAATCAGAAACCAAACTCCCGCGAATCAGAAACCAGAACCAGAAAATCAGAAACTGTGTTGATCCGCCACTATGTTGAATACGATATTACCTTCTACTTCACTTCATAAGAAATCAAATCCGCCACCCCCTCTGGCCACTATGTTGAATAGGATATTACCTTCTACTTCACTTCAAAAGAAATCAAATCCGCCACCCCCTCTGGCCACTATGTTGAATAGGATATTAACTTCAACTTATCTTCATAAGAAATCAAATCCGCCACCCCCTCTGGCCACTATGTTGAATACGATATTACCTTCTACTTCACTTGAAAGGAAATCAAATCCGCCACCCCCTCTGGCCACTCTGTTGAATAGGATATTACCTTCTACTTCACTTCAAAGGCAATCAAATCCGCCACCCCCTCTGGCCACTATGTTGAATAGGATAGTAACTTCAACTTATCTTCATAAGAAATCAAATCCGCCACCCCCTCTGGCCACTATGTTGAATAGGATATTAACTTCAACTTATCTTCATAAGAAATCAAATCCGCCACCCCCTCTGGCCACTATGTTGAATACGATATTACCTTCTACTTCACTTCAAAGGAAATCAAATCCGCCACCCCCTCTGGCCACTCTGTTGAATAGGATATTACCTTCTACTTCACTTCAAAGGCAATCAAATCCGCCCCCCCCTCTGGCCACTATGTTGAATAGGATAGTAACTTCAACTTATCTTCATAAGAAATCAAATCCGCCACCCCCTCTGGCCACTATGTTGAATACGATATTACCATCTACTTCACTTCAAAGGAAATCAAATTCGCCACCCCCTCTGGCCACTATGTTGACTAGGATATTACCTTCTACTTCACTCCAAAGGAAATCAAATCCGCCACCCCCTCTGGCCACTATGTTGAATAGAATACTATTTTCTACTTCAGTTCATAAGAAATCAAACCCGCCACCCCCTCTGGCCACTATGCTACATAGGATATTAATATTAACTTCAACATATTCACCCCGCTTCGCGTGGGGTGGCCGCCCACACCGCAGGTTTATTTCGGTCCGTGAGAGGGGCTAAGGGTGGTTTTCCCCCGTGGGGGCTCCCCAAGCTAAGAATTTTTTCACTTTCCCCCTCCGTGGGGGCCCCCAAGCTAGGTGGGGGCTCCCCAAGCTAGGGAATTTTCACTTTTCCCCCCCGTGGGGGCTCCCCAAGCTAGGGAATTTTCACTTTTCCCCCCCGTGGGGGCTCCCCAAGCTAGGGAATTTTCACTTTTCCCCCCCGTGGGGGCTCCCAAGCAAGCTAGGGGAATTTTCACTTTTCCCCCCGTGGGGCTCCCCAAGCTAGGGAATTTTCACTTTTCCCCCCCGTGGGGGCTTCCCAAGCTAGGGAATTTTCACTTTTCCCCGCCGTGACAGCTTCCCAAGCTATGGAATTTTCACTTTTCCCTCCCTTGGAGGCTCTCCAAGCTGCGGAATTTCAAATAGCTAGACAACGACGCCTAGATAGTCCCCCAAATCCCGTGTTCTTTGAATGTGTTTCCATGTTTTTGCAATGGTTTCCTTCAAAGCACGGTACTTTACACTTTTGTCGCCATAAAACCGGTCGAAAACATCATGTTCGACAATGCTTCCAATTCCCTTATCTCCCCAACCGTTGAAAATACCGCTATTTACAGTGTTTTCTTCAATTTTTCCATGTGCCAATGCCGGTAGCCAACTCCAACATATATATAAGAAATCCTTCCAAAACATTGTTTTTGACAGTGTTTTTCCAATGTTTCCAGTCAAACAGACGGTAATTTACACGTTTTTTGCCATAAAGGCAGTAAATCCTTCCAAAACATTGCTTTTGACAGTGTTTTTGTAATGTTTCCAGTCAAGCATACGGTAATTTACACGTTTTTTGCTATAACGTCAGTCCAAAACACTTGTTTTTGCAGTGTTTTCAATGCTCTGGCATCCAAAAACCCTGCAAAATCTTGCTATGTACAATGTTTTTTTCATTTTTGGCCGTTTTTCCATTGCCGGAAAGCTACCAAAATGACCCAAAATTCCATTTCAATACCCTCTTGCGCTCAGACACCCAAAAATCCTCGAAAAATGTCGAAAACACCACCGTATTCTGGTCTCGGTGCGAAACCGTTTTTGGGCCCCCCCCCCCAGCTAAAGCTGATATAGCGACTGCTATATTAACAAATGTCATTGACCATTTAGTGTTGCTGTTGCCCCCCAATAAGCACGCCTTCACCGCCAAAGCGGTGTGGGCGGATTTTCTTAAGAAATCAAATCCGCCACCCTCCTCTGGCCACTATGTTGAATAGGATATTACCTTCTACTTCACTTCAAAAGAAATTAAATCCGCCACCCCCTCTGGCCACTATGTTGAATAGGATATTAACTTCAACTTATCTTCATAAGAAATCAAATCCGCCACCCCCTCTGGCCACTATGTTGAATACGATATTACCTTCTACTTCACTTCAAAGGAAATCAAATCCGCCACCCCCTCTGGCCACTCTGTTGAATAGGATATTACCTTCTACTTCACTTCAAAGGCAATCAAATCCGCCACCCCCTCTGGCCACTATGTTGAATAGGATAGTAACTTCAACTTATCTTCATAAGAAATCAAATCCGCCACCCCCTCTGGCCACTATGTTGAATACGATATTACCATCTACTTCACTTCAAAGGAAATCAAATTCGCACCCCCTCTGGCCACTATGTTGACTAGGATATTACCTTCTACTTCACTCCAAAGGAAATCAAATCCGCCACCCCCTCTGGCCACTATGCTGAATAGAATACTACTTTCTACTTCACTTCATAAGAAATCAAACCCGCCACCCCCTCTGGCCACTATGCTACATAGGATATTAACTTCAACATATTTTCTTAAGAAATCAAATCCGCCACCCCCTCTGGCCACTATGTTGAATAGGATATTACCTTCTACTTCACTTCAAAAGAAATCAAATCCCCCCCCCTCCTCTGGCCACTATGTTGAATAGGATATTACCTTCTACTTCACTTCAAAGGAAATTATCCGCCACCCCCTCTGGCCACTATGTTGAATAGGATATTAACTTCAACTTATCTTCATAAGACATCAAATCCGCCACCCCCTCTGGCCACTATGCTCAATAGGATATTACCCTCTACTTCACTTCATAAGAAATCAAATCCGCCAACCCCGTCTGGCCACTATGCTACATAGGATATTAGCTTCAACTTATCTTCTTAAGAAATCAAATCCGCCATCATAAGAAATCAAATCCGCCACCCCCTCTGGCCACTATGTTGAATAGGATATTAACTTCAACTTATCTTCATAAGACATCAAATCCGCCACCCCCTCTGGCCACTATGCTCAATAGGATTGATGAACAGGTTTTAGTTTCCGATTCTTTTGGTTTCCGATTAACAGGTTTTAGTTTCCGATTCACCTGCTTTAGTTTACGATTCAGCTTTGGTTCCCGATTCCGGGTTTTTGGTTTCCGATTCAAGGGTTTTAGTTTCCGATTCACGGGTTTTAGTTTCCGATTATTTTAGTTTCCGATTAACAGGTTTTAGTTTCCGATTAACGGGTTTTAGTTTCCGATTAATGGCTTGACCGGAATATGACATTCAGGAAGCCAATTTTGCTCAAGTACTATCAAGGCGAGGTTTTTTGATGTTTTTTGCAGAGGACAGGTGCACCATATGCGTATATGACACGTTGAGCTTCACTGGGACAGGAATCTGAACTGCCATGCCCTATCCAGGCGATTTGCTTTGAATACGCCGTGGACATGCACAGAGAGTTGGTGGCCACCTCAGCTAGAGTAGAGCGAACTGGGGATACCTGGGGACTATATTTCTGAGAGATTGGACGATCTTGCAGCATGAAGCTGTGCGGAGACAATTTTTGCATTTCATCTCAGAGGATATCTCATCAATCGTTTTGGCAGAGACTTTTCTTGGTAGAACGCTTCCAGGTGAAGAGCATTGCTAGCATGCAGCGTCACCATCCCCACGCACGCACAACTATCCTGCAGGAGAATCGGCGGACAAACCGAATTTCATTGACATACTGCGGATAAACGTGCTAGGGTCAGAATGTATGGTGGCACTTTGTTGACTCGTTTGCAATCGAGAACTTTACCCGCAGAATGCAGACACGATTGTCTTCGATTATCCAGGCAGCTGCATAAATTCATTTAGAATCATGTTTGCTAAACTTGATGTTGTACTTGCCAGAAGCAAAGACAAGCGAATCTGCTTGATCAGATTTAATCAGCTTGGCTGTTGGGCACCAAAGTCGGTGGATTTGTTGTTCTTGCATCCTGTTCAACGCGCAGCTGGCTGACAGGAGAATTCATACTGGTGGCTTTTGCATCATTTGCCTTCAGTAGCTTGGCCAGGTGAAGGCTGCAGCTACGGCTAGACCTGGAACTCAGGGTGGCAAGAAGAACTGTGTCGCCCTTACTGGACGAGTCTGTGTTGCCTCATGTTTCAAAACAATCCAGCCAGTTGACATCAAGAAATCGACCATATTTGATTAGCCTGCGCCTTGGTCCAGATGCTAATTTGTTCAAGTTCAATTGTTGATATATTGTTGAGCCCAAATGTGAAACGACTTGAGATTTCATTGTATGCACTGCAGGTGTTCTATCATGTGATTTGTAGTATACAGCTGCCCTTCCCCCAACTGTGAGAGCTTGGATTAGCCCAGTGCATTTTAAACAATTTTTTCCCACCCGCAGCTTCAGGATGTGCGTCGTGGCCGTGGACTTGTCTTGATGGACCCACCCTATGAACCGTATGATGAATACATGGCCTGGAATCTGTACGCACTCAGGCAGGGAGTCAGAGCTGGAGAAGATTGATCCATTTTTAAGTCTGGATTTGAGGCTTGCACCTTAGGAATACCTCAATGGATTTTTTTTTCTTTGTTCCACTTGTCCATCTTGTCCGTCACCTCATTGATTCTCACATGGTACGTTTCATTGAAAGCTCGCCTTTGAACTTTAAATGGTTCTTTGGCTGCTTCCTCTCTCAGATCGTCATCCTAAAGACAGTATAAAGCCAGGTACTTCTAGTTTATTTGTTTACATTTTATCATCTTCATCATCTGGATTCGGGGTAATCATGCTGAGGTGCATCAGCAGACTTAAGCTCAAATGTTTTATGTATATGATTGTATATGTAATACGGGTAGGAATCAGATTTGTTCACTTCACACTGTGGCTTTGAGATTTGAGGCACTTGTACCACACGTGGCCAGCATCTTGTATTGCCGTCCCTTGGATATCTCGGACAGGGTAGTGCTATTTTCTATTGTCCACCTCTCGCTTCTAGTTTCTTTATTTTTAATATCTCCTGTTGTCTTTTCATCGGGTATCAGAATGTATTTGATTTCTGTCTTAAGTCTTTCACCACAAAAATTACAAGACTCTTCAAATCCTGGTGCGGAGCAAAGGGCGTCTATTGTCAGAGGTGTCTAATGATTTCGCTATGAGGTTCCCTCCCCGCGGACAGAACCACCATTGCCAGTGCAGGTTTGGTATCCTTGCTTCACAGACGAACAGACAGAAGCCATTTACCTGCAATTTCTGTATTTGGTGATTTGGCGGCAGTATTTTGCACACCAAAGCAAGCACTGATTGTTCTTATCTCACACTTTAAGAAGAAGGATAATATGCTTTTGGTCTTACTTGTGCATCTCCGGCATCAAGTTTTGGTGCTACTGCGCTTTCAACTGCACTCCTTAGGCTCCATCAATCTCCTTCAACCCAATGTCTTTGAGCTCCCTAAGCATTTCGTGTTCCAAAGTTCACATCGTTCCAGACATAATTCAAACTTGCCCAGGATGTGGGAGATATTCTCATTGCAGATTTCGGGCTGACGAAGGAGTCAGCAACCTTCTCAGCAAAAGAAGCGGCGTTTTGCCTGGGATGCAAACTCTTTGGATAAGGCAAACTCAAGCTGCTGTTTTAAGCAGGGGTTTCTAGGCTAGGGCTTTTTGAAATCTCCGACAGGTGAAGGGACGATGACAAAGTTCAATGACATTTCTCTTGGCAACATGAGGGTTGAACTGTTCTGGTCCAAAGCAGTGTATATCAGGGAGTCAATGCATGCTTTGTTGCTCTTTCAAACGTCCGGAGCAGGCGGGAACAAAATTGCGCGCATAGTGCACAGTGCTCGAGGATATGTATTTCACCAACACAATATAACTCTATCAGTGGATGGACAAAGTTGAAGAAGCACTGCTTTGACTTCAGCATTTTGTTGGCCACTTGTTGGCAGCAAACGGTGCTGCTGCTCAGCATCCTGAACTGCGGGTGGTACACTGGTACACAAAACATGTGTTTGAGTATTGTGGGAGTGTTGGACCGTCGCAGGCAGAATCGTGGATGGGAAAACCTTTACAATTCCCCCTTATAAGATTGAACCAAACCGAAAGCTCAAAGAAAAGTAAGCACGCCGCTACAAGTGCTGTAAATCCATCTAAACACATTCAAGACTGGATGCCTTGGCTGGTCCATGTGCATTCTGACAGATTGTGACAATTCTGTGTAAGTTCTGTATACAGATTTGCCACATTTTGCATCATTTTGCTACAATGTCTCTGTCTATGATTGTCTTTGCAGATCAGGTAGTCGGTGCTTCTTTGCAGCGTTCGGCCTTGGCACTGCTGCGGCCTCCAACCACCGAGCAGCGGCTGAATGAGATGCTGCAAGACTTGGCGCAGCTGATAGGAGGACCTGGGAGCCATCACCGCCATAGGTCCTATGGTATCCTACAGTAAAATGACATACATTAGTTACTTTATGTTTATGCATCTTTATGCATCTTTCTGTATCTTTATATCACCTGTCGGTATTGCAAAAGAATCCTACTATAGCTGTCCAGTGCGAAAAAAAAACAAGGAGAGCTTTTGATCATTGCCAGATTTGGGGCTCTACAGTTACTGTTTAGCTGCAAGATAAATTGGACTTGTATAAGGCCTTTGGCAAGTGTAAAGCACGCAAGCAAGTTGAAAGAATGGCAACCAGTTTCGCTCATGTCTGCACCATATCTGTGTTCTTCAGCACACCCCAGAAACGTTGAAGCATGGCTGAGAAAACAAGTAGAACATTCGAACACGTCAATCATATTCAGAACCAAGCTTTTATCAATAAAATGAAGCATCATTGACAAGCGAAAGTGCTGCTTCTGAGATTTGCATCAGGAGCCGACATCAAAGTGTTTTGGATCTCCCAATGGTCGCAGAGACGGGGCTTTTGAGCACAAAGATAGCGAAGCTGAGATTGTGCAAAGTCAGACGCAGGCAGTGTTGGCTTTCGAGCGATTGGGAAATGCAGCCCCTTGTGACACGAAGTCTTCAGTCCAACGTCTGACTGAGCCAGATAGGCGGAGAAGTAGCTGTCATGCATTGGAGAGTTCAATAGCATAGGTGGACTGATGGGTGACTCTGGCTCCAGATGCTCTGGCTCAAGACTTGCCAAGATAGGACATAACAAAATGCCACAAGACCACGTAGGATTTGTTTCTTCTGGCAGTCCACAGCTGAGTTTGCTGACTGACCTCACTGACTTCTGCATTTCTTTGAACAGCCCAGGTCCCTTTGGACTGGGAACTTGATTTAATCCCAAAAGCAAAGGATCTCACTCTCTTTGCAACGTTTTGCCGGGATTTGAATGATTTCGTGAACGCTCAAGCGGCATTTCTCGTTTCCAAGGCTTCTTTTACTTCAATATCTTCAATCGGTAGAGAATTGCGTGGCGGCGTGAACACATTGTGTTGAAGAGGGTCTAAGTTGGCGGAGAAACCAAGGGCGGCAATGAAAAGTCCGCGTTAGGCGACCAGTATCGCTTCTGGATCATGATGTGTTTCATGATATTTCTGGAAGGCATTGTGATTCCGACGCTATTAGCTGGACAATTGGACAGGTTCAAGAGTACTTGTTGAAGAGAGTGTATGGGATCAAGACGCCCTGGGGGCATGCTCTGTTCAAGACAAAGCATGTGGTGTTGCGCGGCCTTTTTGCTTCTCAGGTGCGTTTATTTGCATTTGGACTTGCATACTCAAGTTCAGCATGGCAGATTGTCTTAGCTGTGGGGTTGAAACAAACAGCAAATGTTGAAAGCCAACACCGTTAATGTATGTTAATGTATTTTGCATGCATCAATCATCCGATCCCAAGGTTCAATCTCACGCAGCACAGATTGTCCTGGTTTGCATTGGTTTTGGACCATGTGTTGGCAAGAGGGATATTTTACCATGGTAGCGTCGCTTGTCCTCATGGCGTCACATGGCGATCTCTCTGAGCACGCTGGTTTCCGTCAGTCTCTTGATCACAAAATAGAAACAAAAGAGGGTCAAAGTTGTTTGCATATGCCCAGATGGCTCTCTACACCGACAAAGTCCACTCATGCCTTGTGCTCATGAACCAACAATTTGGAACATGGTTAAATTTCATGCGCTACCTATATAAGCTGAGATCGCGCTGTTGCAATAAATAGCTCACCGGGAACCCCAGCAAAGGTATAGATTGTGTGTGCTGTATGCATTGCATACGCGTTCAGGCCAGGGCTTGCCAGGTGAGACAGTGCGCAGCTTGTCAGCCAAGGATCGTCATGGCAAGAGGTGTGTCGGCAGCAAGTTGAGGGAAAGTTTGAAAACTTGTATCATCTTGTATCAATTTTGAATGAAATTTGTTTATGAAACGGCAAATTAAACAATTGGTTTGTGATCCAAGCTCCGCAGGTCTTGCGCAGACACACGGATTTCACACGCAGTGGGGATATGGGTGAGCCTAGCCTGACGTTTCTAGCTGTCCTATTTGTTCTTTTGACTTAGGGGTAAGAACAGGTCTGAAGTGTGCAAGTACCTGCCATCAAACAGAACTTGGATATTGACACCAGGTCTTGCACACTGTTTCACCAAGGCAGACTGGAGATTGATTCACTGCTTTTCTTTTAAGATGTTGTAAGTCATTGTAAGTTCTTCTGGGTTGGATTGCTATGCAAAGTCGATTGAACAGGATGATTTACAAGTCCGCTTCGCAATTTATCACCCCTGCCTTTCTCTTGTTGAGGCCTTGAAGGAGAGATGGGCCCACAATTTTATTGCTGCCATTCGGGAGCAGGACAGGCTTGTCACCGCTGTGTCAAGGTGGACAGCTTCAGCAGCACTTAGTAGCACTTATGCTAGAGCAGGGGCATCATGTCACGTCCAAATCAAATCCACTTAGATTCGCTGGGTGTTGATTGTGGTTGAATCCTTTTTAAGATTCTGAAGCAATCTAAGCTTCACTCCTGAGTACTGCTTGAACTTCCACCCATAGCGCAGACCATTGGCAAGTTTATATGTATACTATACGGATTTGCATAGACAACAAAGCACTTTCTTCTTTGTGTCCTTTGGATTCCATTGGAGAATTATGGAAATCAGCTAAGCTCTGCTCTGACATTGCCCTGGTCGATTCGATCAAGGAGACCTGGCAGATGGCAGCTTTCTTTCTGAAGGAGTTTTCAACGTCCCTGGTCTGAATCTGACACTGTGATTGCCCAACTTAATGTGCATGTGTGGTACGGCGATATGGGGGCAAGGCTCGTTACCTTACTTGAACGGTAGCTTGCGTATGCTTGTGTAGTATGATGTATTTGGTCGCATACAGTACACGATGTGCCTTGATTGCACTTGCGCTGGTACGTGCAGATGGGAAGTCTAAATCCATCTCATTACTTGTCTTGATTTACTGCAATACTGCAGTCAGTTAATTATTCAGTGAAAGATGAAGAGGCGTTGTAAGTTTTTGCCATGCCACTCCGCATTGAGGGAGTCGAAGGAGTCTGAGTTGAAGCTACTTCAGAACGTTTTCTGCAGCTCTTGTGCAAAGCGTTCAGCCTGGCAATGCGCTTTGGGGCTCCTAGGCTATCAAGCGGCAAGGACCGAAGCAATATATTTTTACCCACGTCCTCAATGCATGTGTTGTCGAGCAGGTTTGATATGGTTTGATATTATTTTAAACTGTCTTGCAATGATGCTTTGTAGATGTGGATCCGAAAACCTATTATGCATAATATATGTATGTATATATGATATATGTATAGTTATATTTGGTTATATTCGTATATAATAGATCATATTTAATACAATATGTATGTGTATATATGATTAGATATGTATGTATATATATGTGTGTATATATATGTATACATATATATGTGTATATATACATATATATATGTATATATACATATATATATATATGTATATATACATATATATATATGTATATATATACACATGTATATATATGTATATATATACACATGTATATATGTATATACGTATATATGTAAAGTTATAGTTGTATATATATATATACGTGTATGTCTATGTATATATGTATATATGCATATATGTATGTATGTATGTATGTATGTCTGTCTGTGTGTGTATGTATGTATGTATGTATGTATGTATGTATGTATGTATGTATGTATTAATGTAATGTAATGTAATGTATGTATGTATGTATGTATGTTTGTCTGTCTTTCTGTCTGTATGTATGCATGTATGTATGTAATGTAATTTAATGTATGTATGTATGTATGTATGTAATGTATGTAATGTATGTAATGTATGTAATGTAATGTATGTAATGTAATGTATGTAATGTATGTAATGTATGTAATGTATGTAATGTATGTAATGTATGTAATGTATGTAATGTATGTAATGTATGTAATGTAATGTAATGTAATGTAATGTAATGTAATGTAATGTATGTATGTATGTATATTTGTACATATGTATGTATATGTATATGTATATATATATATATGTGTATGTGTGTGTGTGGGTGTTGACAGTTCGACCTGCAAAGATTTGACTCAAAGCCGGCAGTTTCGAGCAGTCTGCCAGATTGGAGGATAGTTGTGACCCATTGCATCCCACAAACTCAACGAGTCAGTAGCGAATTGCAATTCCCTACAAAGTCTGGAAACAGCAAATTCCTCTGACCTTGCAACTCGCGAACCAAGACACCAAGACAGACAGCTTCCTGGGGATTTACTTCGACAATCTTGTGTTTTCGATTCCAGATACTCTTGGATCATGTGGCTACGTCAGTCAAACCCCCCCATGGGCCTGACTTCAGTGGTCCCTGCAGGATCTAACTTTTGCAGGTCAAGATAATTGATTCCTAATCTGATAGTCATTCTTGGTTTCTTTGCACTTGTCCAAGTATTTAATTTTGCACGTCAGGATATGCTACATTTATACTTGTCCTATGACTCTGTTTGTGCCTTTTGTGGCTCAACTTTGATTTGAAAGCATGTGCGCAGCACCGTGTCACTGAAAGACCTTGAGACTTTCCTATGGGTGTACTGCGTGTGTGGGAAGGAACATCAAGTCAGACGTGGTCTCCTACAATTCAGTGCTCGATGCCTGTGACAAGGTGTTCGTGCCAACACCATCAAAATACCACTGCATCGCAGTCTTGATCTTGAGACATGTTTCTGGAATCTTGTCTTCAACTTTCTTCAACTCAATGATGCTGGGAGGGATATGAACATGGAACAGCACGGTAACGTGACAACATGTGCAAGATAGAATGAGGGGCAAATACTTCACCTTCTGTCAAGGTCCACAGGTCATTAGAATCGCCGACTGCGTTGGTGGAATTCTGGTAGCCTTCGCAAGCTGCAGGCCATGCAGTGGCAGCTGGCCATTCAGGTCTTCGACGCTGTAAGGACTCCAAAGCTGCGCGCACTGATCTCAACAATTTTTTGTGGCCATTGGATGGCCAAATGATGCCAAGTGGCTAGACACTTGAAACATCAGTGCAAGAATTCGCACTCAATAGATCATAATAAGATATTTTAAGTCTGTTGTGTATTATTATCATTGTTTGTCTATTGCTTCGGACGGGATCACCTTAGGGAAGACACAACTCACAACTGGAACTTGCAATGGAGGAGAAATTGTTTCTTGCGCTCCAGCATCATAACCTACAGCACGGCCATGAGTTGCTTCTCAATGGCTTGGCATCTAGTTCTGTGGCTTGTTTGCGAATTTTGGGACATTTAGACATTTATATAGAAAAATTTGGAAATTTAGACAGAGGATACTTCATGTAGGTAGATGGACACTGGCATGTGATAAGTTCTTTGTGTGTCTTTCAAAGCACATGTTAAGCGCACATAGAAATTCAAGACCAACAATAGAAGATGTTTGCTTCCCAGCATCTCCAGATCTGACCATACCATACTGGACTCATATTTTTTCATGTGGCTTTGACATGTTGGGACTTCATGAGCGGCACCCTGAAACTGAAAGCAGCTCTAAATGGCTTTCACATTGTAGTGGCGTTGATAAGTTGGCAAAGCCTTGCAGTTTTCCTTCGGTTTGCATGTCAGAACAAAGAATGAATCTAGTTGATTCAGGTGCATCCACAGCATGATGCTGCAGCAGGATTTGGAGCCTGATCTCGCCAGCTATTTGGTTGAAGTGTTAAAATATATTGAATGTTGGTTCTTTGCACGGCTTTCTGGGTGTTTGCGTGATGTCAATAACGGTCGGTGCCAAAACTTCCTTACGAAATTTCTTGGGGAGCGGCTTTCTATTCCTGCAAACACACTTTTGCGAAGGATCTTGAATCTTGATTGCCAGATTGCTGTCTCGCGCTAAATCTATGGCTTTTGGTACGGTTCGATTTTCATGTTTGTTTGCCCAGGTTCCAACCTTTTCCTGAACGCTGTGAAGGACAACGCCCGTTGGCGTCAGGTGCTGCAACTGGGAACAGCGCCAAGCCAAATTCAGCGCAGCGCTCCACTTCGTGCTGTCAATGTAGCTCTGGCAGCGAAGCTTTGAGGCAAAGAGATTTTACCAGAAGTCCAGACATGTATGGAGATGAAATATACACGCAAATACGCGCATATGATCGCATGATATCACGTAAGTATCTGTTGCGCTGCATGCATACATGCTCATTGATTTGCCAGCGCAAAAGGCCTGCGTATTCTTCATTGATATCCTTTCCCCAATTTGACCAGCGCATTGTATCAACGGCAAAGCTTTCAAACAGTTGGTAGTCTCAGCTAGGCTTCACAAGTCTCAGTCAGGCCCTCACAGACCGTCCTTTTCAACTGCATATGCAAATACATTCAACTGCATGTGCAAATACACAAGGGCAAAACCACAGCCGGCAGTCTGCTCTAATTTTAAACCCTGACAGCATTCCCGACACAATGCAACAGCTGCAGGTGCGTGAGAGCGTTGCAAAACCAAATTGCGCTGAAGATGTTTGATGGCTTGGACATGAAGGCCGATGGCGGCAAGCACTAGCTCTTAAACTCCTGGCATGTTTGGAAAGTTTTGGTTCAAACTTATGGCCGGTTCCTAGCTTGATTGATGCAAGTCCCAATGGTTGAGGCCACGCAGAGGTTTGTGAGGGACGTAAGTGGTCAGGCTGTCTAGTTACATATCAGCCACAGAGCAGGACACCAAGCGGTGATCGCCCTTCCGAATAAAACAGATGCAAGAATTGTAAACCGAAGGAGAACGCATGGTCAAACATGTCAAACAAATTCAAACAGAATCAATCAAATCATGTGAGTTGTGAACCATTTTGGCTGCTTCCGATTTCCTGCCTGAATTTTCTCGTCAGTGCTGACTCTACTTCCCATAGGATTTGGTCACCTACAATACCGCCATGAATGCCTGCGCGTCCGAAGGCAGGGGGGCCGGAGTTCACGGGCCAGCCCTGACATACATGCAATGCTACATATGTATACATATGTAAATGTTTATGGTTTTGAAATAGCGCAAAGATTGTGAAATTTTCAACTACAAGCTGAGTGTGCGACATGCCATCCCGTTGGCAAGCAGACTGGGAACAAGTCATACAAAGAAAAACAATGACCAAAGTCCAAAGTGGCATAAGTTTGCTGCATGCCTCAGCCCGGCCTGGCCCGCCAGGTTTGTGGCAACAAGCCAAGTGTTTGCTCTTGATGCGTATGGCCGAGGAGAAGGTGAAGTCAAATTCGTGCCAAAGTTGTGATTTATTCTCGATTTATTGTCAATTGAAATCCATCTCATTCTGGAATGTTGCCCAACAAATCAGATGTATCCCTCCGAAATCTTGAGTCACCAGACATTTGTTGGCAACAGATTTAGATTTGATTCGTGTGTCGGCACCAGCTTGGAGTTCAAGCCATCCTGCAATCATGTGTGAAGACTTTTTGGGGTGTGCTTTCGAGGGAGCGCAACGGCGCAACGGTCCTGTAAAAGAACCGGCGGTTCTTGCAAGTGCCTTCCTGCTTACTCCTTCTTGACAACAGCCACCGCAAAGACCAGAGTAACTTCTGCGGTCCCATCTTGGTACTTCAGTGCTCCCAGTGCTCCCTCAGGATCTCATACACCACTGCTATTGATGCTTGCGCAAATGCGAGAGAGTGGCAGGCGGTAGCTTGGGATCAAGATCCAGCGCAGAAGTTCGCAGAAGGTTGAGGGGTTAGTAGGTACAGGGACATGGCTTGGAATTATCTCGAATTGTTGGACACATTGGTTAAATTGAAATTCTCCGCCGTCACTGTTTGATAATTGTTCCCTCCTTCTAAACTCCCACATTTAGTGTATGTCATGTTTCAAGTCATTGGCAAAAGCTTCTGAGGCTGTGTATGTGCTTTTCTTGCACGCTCTTCCAGACGTGCAGAAAGTCATCGCTCCTTTCAATTCTACAATCAATGCTTCGTGCCGGCTGCCTGCAGCAGAAAGTTTTTCTGTTTGCAGAATTATTGTGTTGTGCGCATGCATCGTGAAAACCCCGCGTGCCTATGACCGCCTACTGTATCAGTGAATGTGTCTGATCTTGCATTTTGTTCCTGTATGGAAGAGGCAAAGCCGAGCGCTGGGTCATTGCGCTCAATTTGTTTCTTATCTGCAACCGTATGCTGTGATGTTGCGACGGATGGAAGAGGAGGTGTATGGAGGTGTCATTCAAGCGTGTTCAATCTGCAATGGGTCCTTTGAGCATGTAGAGTTCAATCCTGACTGGAACAATATGGTCCACAAGTGGTGTTCTATGTTGCGATTCAAATCACACATTCTGGTACTGCACCTGTTTCCCCCTTTGGTGTAGCAAGCAGACATTGGGATAAAGCATTTCGAAATCGTGTGAGACCAGCTTGCCTGCATAGTCAAGATTCAAGGCGATATTTCTTTAGGTGGCACAATCTTGCAAGGGAGCGAGCATGCAGCCGCACCTGCTATATCTTTCCCAGATTTGTTCAGTTGACGTCAGAGAGAAGGATAGCCGCATCTGCATAAGTTGTCGCATCTGCATGGTATGTTTCAAGGGAATTTGCGGAGGGTCGTAGAAAGGAATTTTGCAGAAAAGATTCTCGACCTCCAAAAGTCGCAAAAGTTGTTCGCAAACAGAACCGGTCAGCTCCGACTGGCCCAGGTCATCAATAGCCAGAGATCGCGGGCTGCGACCCGGCCAACTCACTTTGAACCTGCTCACACGAGTTACCGCTCGAGGCGCATTTAGGAGTGGCGCATTTCAGACTAATGCACCCCCAACCTACAAAAAAGTACAACACACACATGAAATCGTGCATGAAAATATTGGGCGCAGCAATCAGCTCAATTTCACAATGGAGAAGTGCAACAGATGTGAAATGCCATTGGAGAGCTGTAGATTTTCTGCATGTTTTGCGCCAATACAAGTTCGAAGTTTCCAATAGGTGCGTACGACCTCCAGAAAAACATGTGATGGCTCAGATGAACAATTCATTGACAAAATGGCATGCATTTCCTTCCATCACGGCCTTGCCACATAAAGTCCTATGTGTCATGCTGAACTCGCTTGCTCTGAAGGTCGTCAATGGGAGCGAGTCCTAAGACTGTTCCGAAGCGCCAAGAGAGGGCTTTTCTTTTCAAAGCAGCGTTCGAAGACAGTGCTTCTAGTGGCTAGCACTGTGTAGAAACTGAATTTTCACCAGTTGCCGACATGCCGATGTTGAATTATTGTTGCTGGAACTATTGTTGAATTTCTTCAACAAGTCACGAAAGCTAGCTTCTGCTAGCGGAGGTCCCTCTTGAATTAGCAAGGTATTGGCAGGGCTGGAGCCGCCAACCACGCGAAACCTTGCATTGAACACCCCCCTCCCCGGCCAAACCCCAGTCCCATATCGTCGCAATCAGCATCATCATCACCATCATCAGACTTATTCACACAGCGCTTTTTCACAGTTTCTTGTGATGTTCGATGAAATTCTGCACTCAGTTGCGGAGAGTTCTCCTTTCTTGACCAAAGCAAGGACCAAATACCTTCCAACACACGACACTGAAGCAAAAGCCCTTGCAGTTTGCGAGTCGACACTTTCATGTCTCTAAACATTCTGAGGCTTCAAAGTGTTGAAATGTATTCGGTCGCTGATCGCTTCACATGGAACCTCGTCCAGAGCGCGGAGAGGGAACGCAGATGAAAGCATGATATTCTGAAACAAGAGCACGGAAGGGTGTGGACCGGGTTGAACATGCAAGTGGAAGGGGGCAAGGTGCCCCCGCGCCTGGATTGTACAGTCTTGCATCATCCGATATCAAGGTAATACGCCGCCATCAGCTGTCAGATTCTAAGTGCTTGCGTGTCATGGAGTTGTAGGGCGTCCATCAATCAGGATAGCTGAAATATGCTGCGATATCTCACAAAAAAGCGCAGGTCCTTAACGATTGAGTTCGATAATTTAAATTTGGAGTTTCTCAGACATGTCCTGGTCATTCCTGGTCCATCCTGGTCCACCCTTGTCCTCGAGGACGGCTGTGGCTTTGGCTCTCAGCAGCTCTGCATGGATGTTGGCACTCGAGCTGCGGGCGAGTTTCAGTACCTCCTCAGCTTCAGCAGCTGTTCCTTGGAGCAAAAAAGTCACCTGCCATCACTTGCTCAACAAGTTTCTTGCACATTGACAGCCTACATATGATAGCGTGGCTATGCATGGCTTTTGGAGCAGTGCTTCTAGGATGATGCGAATGCATTTTGAAGAGGTGGAGAATGTCGAACTCATAAGTTCTCGGCTCTTAGGTGTTGCAGGCCTTTCGGGAGCACCCGTGGCATAAAGCCCTGCAGCTCCTGGAAGTCGAAAGGTGCGAAAGATGCTAGGGTGGAAAGAGCAATCTCGGCCGAATTCCAACCATTGTTTTTTGATGTTGTTTGATTGTTTTGATTTGTTTTGCATCCTGCATGTGTTTATCCACATGATACAGTAGGCAAAGGACATTTTATTGGGGCGTTGACCTGCGCAAGATGCATGGGTTGCATACCGAATCACCAGTAAACATTTTTGCGCGCAATGTGATTCATTATCAGTCATGTTTGACAACATCGAAGGACCTCAAGACCTCAAGGCACTTCTCCAAAACAGCATCAAACAATCTTGAAGTTCTGGAACCTGCCAGGCGTCGTCGGATTTTGCCTGACGTTCTTGCATACGAGGCTGTCATTGAGGCTTGCAGGAGACCCTGCAATTTGCTTCAGTGTGCTAAATCCAGCCAGTACAAGCGGCTACTTGTAGCAGCTTTAGGGAAGGTATCATTGAACGGCGATCTTGATTTTGTTGGGTTGCTGAATTAGTTAGGTTCAGTAGACACCTGAGAGATCCTGAGAGGATTGAGAAGTTACTGTAATAGCAATCAGCAGATCAGAAAAAATACATAAGCGACCTACAATCCTCAGATCCTGTAATGAGATAACTTTGCCTTTGTGATCCTCAGGTTTTTTTGCAAAGAGGACAAGAGCATGTAAATGCACTCAAAGAGCAAACATTTGACTTTTTTGAGATTCAGAGCACGCTACTAAGTGCACTTTCACACCTACTTAAAAAGTGAGGACCAAGAAGTCATCAACGTTCAATAGTTCTTCTATCTATGTCTGTTCTCTATGATTTTTGACTGGTGGCTTCCCTTCATTGGCCCTCCCAATGCAGTGCAATTCATCATGGCAGGACCCAACCTATCCAAGCCGTGATTCACTTACAATGCAAACTGAACTACCTTGCAATTGAGAACTTGGATCTACTTCATTGAGTCTTGCAGACCTTTGCCCACGCCGACGACATGAACATACATGAACCAGATTAGAAAGACCATGACAGACCTGATTGGCTTGGCTGAGCTTTCCACCAATTCAGGCATGAGCTGATGGATCTGATGGCACCAGCTGACACAGGATGACACAGGTCACAAAGAATGCAAAGAATTCAAAGAATTCAAAGAATCCAGATGACGAGGATGACGTCTTCAGCTGTGCTTTCAGCTGTGCTCCTGGATCAGTGGCTCTTTTCCACTTTTCCACGATGATGCATCAATCCGTCTACAAGATGAGAGTAGCCACGAGGCAAAGCCGAACTAACTTCGCGGACGTCCCCCACTCCTATTCCTGTCAGAGGTATCCGTTTTCAATCTGCTACGTAGTCCATCCAGTCCCATTCTGTTCCGTTTGCCCTGTAGATCCAAGTAGGGGAGCTGGTTTGGATGCAACAAACATTTTTTTCATTGACATGTACAGTATGACATACTAACCGCCAGCTGGAGAATGGGAGGAGCATAGTGATTTTGATTTGTGATTTCCCCTTCACATGTCAAATACTGTTGCTTGAGGATTCAATATCAATATGCTTGGCATTCCAAGGTTTCAAAGGCCATTTGGCTTTTGTAGACGACAACCGCATTAATGAAAAGACTTATACTTATACAACATGGAGTCTTCCGCTGGGATGCGTACATCTAGCCCTCTTCACGACCTGCAGGTTGCTTCGTTCTCTTGCGCTTGTGAGACAGTCCATGAGATGACGGCAGACAATGACTGCGTGATGCCCTTTCAGTCTTGATCAGCAGTCACAAACGCTAACCGCCAAGTCATGCACACGATCTTTCACTTGGCCTAAAAGGGTCAAGTCCCTTTTGCGAGAAAATAGCAGCACAACCATCCTGCTTCTATAATCATCCTTCCAATGCCATTCACCAGGTTTTGTAATTGTTTTATTTGCAGAAATGAGTAAGTACAGTTTAAAAAACAAATAAATACATGCATGGATGCATGCATGCATACCTGCCTACCTACATACATATATTGACATATCCACAGACACATACACATCTACACATATACAGCTCATATACGTACAGCACGTATACAGCACATGTACACAAACTATACGTATACACATAGACACATATACAATCATATATCTTCATATACATAGATATATGTCGTATAGTTCTATTTATGTTTTTTATTGCTTTATTTATTTTATTTGTATACATATATATATATATATGTGAGTTTCGTAACTTGCTGCTGCCGCATACACCTTCGATTGTTTCCTGTCAGGGGAAAGCACATTCATTATGTGCCTTTTGACTCGTGGCTCAAGGCCAATTTCAGCGAGATAGGGGAAAAATCTCGAGTGCCGCCATAGGATTGGTTGGAAGGTGAAGAGTGGACTCTTTTGGGATTTGGTTGGATAGATATACATTTTTGGTGTTGTGGACAACACTGTTGGAACGACTTTACTTTGGTTGAACATCAACTACTTTCTGGTGATCAAGGAGGACCTTGAACCATTCAGGTGGGAACCGTTATCAGTGGCGTTGCGATCTACGATCCAACGACACTGGTAGCGGAGCCTAGAGGCTCGTGCTACTTGCACGCAAAGCCGGCCCGCTAGTTTTGTGGCTTCTGGATAGTGAGCAATGCCTCCTAAAGAGTCTGCCTCAACTGATGGAAACGGTGACTCCCAGCAGGGTTCCAATTTTTGGAATTTGCTGCCCAGTTTTGACCCGAGTGAAGATGACATACGAGAGTTTTCACAGAAAGCCAGGTTCATCCACGGTGTCATGCCCGAGAAGGACAAGCCCAACTTAGCTCCCAGGTTAGCTATGTTGTGTAAAGGGACAGCTTGGTCCCAGGTGCGTCAGTTAGATCCGAAGAAGCTCACCAAGGCCGACTCAGGTGTTGAATACTTGTTGGCCGCTTTGTCAGCTTGGGAAGAAACATCAGAGATGAAAACGTATGAACTGTTTGAACGAGCACTCTACAAGGTAGTACAGAAGTCTGATGAGGCCTCCCATAGTTTCTCACTTCGCCTTCAAGCTGCATTCAATGAGATAGGTGATGATGTCACTGTCAAACAAATGCAAGCCTTCGTGATGTTGAGACAGTCAGGTTTGTCGTCTGAAGACAAAAAGAAAATCCTGACGATGACAGGTGGTAAGCTGGATCTGACCGCAGTTGACCAAGCCATGAGGTCGTTGTCCACACGTGTGTTGATGGGCCCTGGTGAAACCAAGAAAAAGATTTACCCAATCAATTTCACAGAGGTGGAAGAGCCACCTGCCCAATCTGATGAAAGCCTTCCGGTTCAGAGCACTTACGTTGCATACCATGAGGAAGAGGATGTTTTGACAACCGAGCATCTGGAATACCTAGTGTCTCAGGGAGATGAGGATGCCAACGTAGTGCAACAGTTTGAGCGTGATTTCGAAGAGATGCTGCAAGAGATTCCTGATATGCAACAAGCAATGGTCTCATACAATGAGGCTAGGCAGAGGATCAATGATCGCCGTCGTAGCCGAGGGTTTTGGCCCACTGGAAAAGGAAAAGGGAAAGGTGGGTTCAAAGATGGATCCCGGCCATACCGCAAAGGTGGTGGAAAGTCTGGAAAAGAAGAGTTGCTGGCTCGCATTGCGAAAACGCATTGCAAGCTTTGCGGTGCCCTTGGGCATTGGCGTGCAGAATGCCCTCAGAGGAAAGAAACCCGTGAGTCAGCCAACGTTGCCTTCTCCATGCCATCCGAAGCATCCGATGCCGAAGAGGAGACCAACCAAGTGGTCTTTGAAGCGTTGAGTGAACAGGAGTGCATCCGTTGTGAAACCTGTTTCGTTGCCTCATGCCACCGAAATTCAGTTTTGTGCAAACAAAATGTTGAAGACGTGAAAGCCTTTTGGGGTAAGAAACTGGATAAGCCGGGGTATAAGCGGGGTAATAAAGGGGTTATTGGGTATAATGGGGTAACAAAGAATTGTGGTCCGGAGAATGTTCTGAAACCAGAAGTGGTGACCACAGCACTCCACACCCATGCCGCCAGGAAGATGCATCCGAGACCAACCAATAGAGCCGATGGTTTTGTCAGCCAGAATCACTCAGATGCCATGCAAAGTCAAGGAATGGCCATACTGGACACAGGTGCCAGTCGCAGTGTGATCGGACAAGACCATGTCCCCGCGATGCTCCAAAAACTGCCAGCCAGTGTCCGTGACCAAGTCGTGGAAAAGCCCAGTAGAGTAGGATTCCGTTTTGGAAATAACCAAGTTGCATATAGCTACAAACAGCTGCGCATACCATTGGTCCACAAGAGAATCCGAATCTGGTTGCTAATTGAAGTAGTGCCGAAGGCCACACCTTTCCTGCTGTCTATTAAGACCATGAAGAGTTTAGGAGCCATGATAGACCTAGGACAAAATACATGTTTCCTCAAGACACTGCAAAGGTCACTGTATTTGAAAGAAAACAAGAATGGGTTGTTCATGATTGACATGTCCGATCTTTGTCAACCTGATGTCAAGTCCAATGCAGCAGCTTTTGTCGCATCAAGTGTCTGTGCCCCGCCTCCAGGTCTGGAAAGTGAGATTCCTGTCAGTCATGCCGACACGCCAGGAAGTGCTCGATGCTCTTCGCACAGTGGCAGAGGAAGTGTTAGCCAGTCTGAAGCTCCTGATGACCATTGTGTTCACCATGACCAGTGCGATCGACCCGAACCAGGAAGCCACGGAGCTCCAGATGAATCCGGTGAATCAGCTGATTCACGAAGTGGCCCAACAACGTCGGACAATCGATCAGTTGGGGAATCTGATTCAAGCTCAGTTCCAACAGAAGCCACCCACATGTCCAGGACCTACCGTGAGCCCGGTGAACCATGTTCCAGGATCAGAAGATTTCGAATGGGAAGCCGAGATGGTGCCATCACAAGGCCAAGCTGCATCAACGGTGCCAAATTCTTCCCAATCGATGTCTGCTGTGATGATGAATGTCAGAGTTCCCAACAATCAGCCTCCTCCAATGCCAGTGAGACAGCCCATGCCGCATGTGTCAATGACACCAAGTGCCCGACCACCAGCTGCAATGATGGGAAGCCCAGGATCGTCCTACGCAGCTTCCGAGATTGGAAGCCAATTGATGGTGACTCAAGCATCCCTCGAAAGCTGGGGAAACAAGATCGTGGGCTTTGGCAAAAAGCATCTGAGGTCTCGTTACGCCCATGTGTACGAGTCCGACCCAGGTTACATCAAGTGGATTCTGGCCAGAGCCGACAACCTTTCCGAGGATGTGGCAGATTTCGCAAGCTATGCTCGAGCTCGCAATCAACTGGAGCAATTGGCCAACAACCCGGTTCCATGAGAGGCAATTGGGAGGAATTTCAAGATTCTAGGATGTCACATAAATCTAGCTTCAAAGAAAGACAACTGTGGAATGAAATGCAACAGCCTGACTCAGAAAGTAGTTCTCACAAGTCAGAACAGTTGGACATCCTAGAAGTGTATGCGTTCCCGAACAGCATGTTGACCACCGTGGCGCAAGAACATGGTTTGCGAGCAAGGAGGTTTACATATGAGGATGGGGATTTATCAACACCTACTGGAAGAAGAGCTTTATTTCACATCATCAAGACACAGAGACCAAAACATATTTGGCTTGCACCGGAATGTGGTCCTTGGTGTGCCTGGAACCGTTTTAACTCCATGCGAAGCCTATCAAGTTTTGAACAAGTCATGCACCAACAACGTCTTGCCAAAGAACACCTGGTGTTGTGTAATGTGGTAGCTCAGATTCAGCATGATGAAGGTAGACACACCCATCTCGAAAGTCCCAAAACCTCCGGCGTTTGGAAGCAGCAGGAGATACAGCCGTTTTTGAAGCGTTCCATTCCGGCCCAGCTGGACCAATGTGCTTTTGGCCTGAGACATCCGAGTGAAAATCAGTTGATGAGAAAATCCACTCGCATACAAACCACCTCAGTTGAGATGTTTTCCGTTTTGGACTGCCGTGTTTGCAATCGTGAACATAGTCATAGTACCATAGCAGGAAGATGTCAGTGGAAGGGTCATAGCATTTCCGTGTCCAGGTTTGCTGCTTTCTATCCACGCAAGCTTGCGCTGACCATTGTCCGTGGAATCATGCAAACATCCCAAGGCCCCTATGAGGCGCCAATTTGCCATGTAGATGAAATAGAGCCACCTGCCAAAAGGGCACGTACCAACTCTGGTGAAGCCTCTGCACCACACGACACCACGAACGTGTGGAAACCAATGTTTGAATTTCTACAGAGAAAACTTCCCAAATCAGGTGTTGTCACTTGGGAAGACCCGCAAGATGAAGTCTTCCAGGAAATTCAGAAACTGTTTCCACATGAGAACATTGGTGCAGTCAAAGCAGGAAAAGGCCTAGATCGTCTTTTGTTGGGCGAAGAGGCTTGGAGAGATCAGCTGCCGAAAAGACATAGCATAGTACAGAAAAGATTCACTCATGAAATAATTGACCTAGGACTTGAAGTTTGGAGTGAATTAACTCGGAAAAGGGCTTGTCGAAAAGAGGTGCCAAGCCATATCATGTTGTGTTTGTTTTCCAGAGATGACAGCCGACCTGATACACCTATAATGCCAGCAGCCGATCCCGCCAATGGATCAATTGAGACAAAAGCCGCTGAATCAACAGCCAGTCCACCAGTGCAGGTAGATGTGCCCAGCTGGACTCCTTTAAGTGCCACTGTTTCAGGCCCAAATTTCCTGAAACTTACTCGAGAGCAACAGTCCATGTTGCGCAAGATTCATAATAATCTAGGACACCCCACAGCCGAAAGACTGGCCCGACATCTAAAGGAATCCAAAGCACATGAACACCTGGTGGAAGGT